TTTGCTCACTGCAGTGGGGCTGACGTTTCCTTGCTAACATTTTACTGATGGCAGTCAGTCCTATTTTCATAACATGAAGTTTAAAAGAGGAAAGAAATTCCTTAACTGTCCTTCAAAATGCCTTAGTAACTCTTCCTATTTCAGTGGTTTACACTTAAGAAAAAATTTAGAAGGAAATAATATTTGTAGGCATCAAAATGTGGTAACCAGTGTAGGTCACAAGAACCCTCTGGAGATATTTCTCCCAAGCTTCACCTGAAAGCAGGAGATGGGGATAGCCTGGGTAACCTGAGATGAGGTTAGCCAGGGCCCTGTCAAGGCAAGTCCTAAATACTTCCAAGCAAGTGAAATCTGACCCCTTCTCTGGACAAACTTCTCATATTCTTCTTTATTCCTATTTCCAGACTTTTGATTTCCCCTAAAGGAATGTGTGCCCCTGGAACTGTCATCACACATCCTTGTGAACATTGTGACTACCCTTTACATATAAAAAGACATTTATTAAATACATACAGTGTTCCAAGTTTAAAAGGTTTACCCAAAATTTGAAAGAAATAAAATTAAAAAAAATGAAATGAAATAAAATAAAAAAAGGTAATAAAATGAAATGAAATGAAATAAAATAAAATACAATGAAATAAAATACAATAAAATGAGAGGAACACACACTTTTCTTATCTCCTGCCCATATGGACACTGCTATGAAAACAGTTATTTATTTCTTCTCACTATCTGAATCTGTAGGAATGTATTCTTGGGTTTTTTTCCTTTTTCTGATCTAAGAGAAACCTGACATCAACCTACCTTCTTTATAAACCTGAGTAATAAACACTTCCTTTGATTTCAAGCAGAAATGGGCAAAGTCTGGTAATACGGTTTTTTTCTACTGAGATTTTATTTAACATTCAATCCACAGGAATACTGTAATTTTTCCCACAGATGTCTACTGCCCTCTGTAGGATTATTTTAAATAAAATATTAGGAACAAAGTAGAAGAAAAAAATTTTAAAAAAAGCATGTAAGCCTGTCACAGTACTGTATCACATCATCAACATGGTGGAGGTGGCTTATTAAGTTGATGTCTCTTACAGCTTCATAATTTCATTGATTTTACAGATATGTCACCAGTAATAAGCAGAATATTCCCATCCAACACCATCAGACTTTTGAGACTGCAAAATGCAAACTGAATGCCTGAAGAACAGTGGAGACAATGGGTATATGAGGGTGTTCAGAGCTACTCAAAAATCCCCACCATTTTGCAGAACTGCAGGCTGCTTTCAGAGCATGTCTCAAGAGACTCTCTACTGTGTGCAAGCAAAACACTGACATAAACTCAGGAGGAAACCTACTGTATCAAACTCTTTACTGAAGTTGTAGGTTTTGATATATTTAAGCTTCCTTCTTGATACCACCTAGGATGCAGTTCTGGTCCTCACTGCCATGGATAAAAAGTAGATTCATGTATGCTAAATTGCATATGGGTTTTTGCATTCCATTTGCAGATCAAATTTTGGCTGTATTTTATCTGGTGATCCTGTCAGCCAATTAGAAAGATGTGGTAATGAGGAGCCTCAAAGTAACTACTCACTGCACACAGGCATAGAAATGCAATGTTCATTTGCTTCTCTACATTCATTAGAAAAGTTTTTGATGACTTAGATGAGTTCAGTAGTGACATGGGAAGTGTCTGGTGCCTTCCATGCCATAGGAAACCTGTGTTGTTCAAGGACATTAAAGGACAAGGAAGTAAAGCAAAGCTATTCCTACATAAGCATGGGCTAAGTAATTCTGACAATTCAGAAGAGAATTGGCTCCCTTTGTATGAAGGGATTAGGAGGACATAAAAAAACCCCAAAACCCACAAGCCTAACTGCTTAATTCCCCACAAAACAAAAAAATGCAATTAAGACTTCAATGGCATTTTTCTTTAAAAAAAACCCTGCAACACCAATTACACATATAAAAATATCCTCTCTGGAATGTAACTGCAATTATAAATGGCTAATCACTGTGACAATAAATAAAAAACCATACTACAGCACGTTATCATTTTATGATGTGAGGAATGAGGGTCCTGAAATTCCTGTGAGTTCAGGTAAATTCCCTATAAGAGAGGAATTTTGCACATAAACTGAGGCTCAAAGAAGGACCTCAAAGAAGGAAGCAGGTGTCTGAGTGATCCTTACTAGAGGACACTTATCTCTTCTCTATGTATTGAAAGTGGTGTCAGACAGCATGTGGAGACTGAGGAAAAAAAAAATACTGAGGACACAAGGTCAGCTGTGGGGAAGAGAAGATTTGCATCTCTTCACAGGTTCCTTTGCTAAGAGCATGTGTGCACCTCACGTCAAACACATGCATCCATCCAAGAGCCCCATCTCTTTCTGCAGTGGTGCAATAACTTTTGATATTACACAAATCCTTTCCCCAAGTTTTCTAGGAAATCAGTGGTCTCATCAGTAACTGATTTACAGAATCTTGTGAATAATCTAGGTTATTTATTTCCCAGTAGTTGGCTGTTCTTCCATGCTCCATTTGCTGTCCTTTTCCTTTCTGATGCTTTCTGTTTCAATTAATGCACTTTCATCGCCACAAGACACAGACCATTTACTAACAAGACAATTTGCATTTGGAGGGAAAGGCCACAGATTAATAAAAGCTAAAAATTACAACCTACCTTCTGTAAGAAATGATTTAAACATTCAAACACTGAAGGCCACCTTCTATCACAAGGTGACCAATCATGCCAAAAGAAGCTGATTTTTATTTTTGCCATTTCCTTCCTCAAAAACACAACAGAGCAGGTACTGGGTAAAGAGATGAAAACTTACCAAACCTGGCACACAGCACAGTCATATAAGTCTCATTTTCTTAGGCAAAACACAGGATATGGGTCAGAAAACCTGAATTGTCCTAGCACTTTGACAATAAACTTTGCCTGGCAATGTTACAATTAACTTCAAAATAAGCCAAAATTTTGTCCAACCAATTGCTTTTGTTTCTCATGGATGCAGGCCAACTTTGTGTCATGATTACACTTTTAAGAAAAGTTCAAGTTCAACTTTACATAAGTTTTTTTTTTAAGACCATAATTTATGACTGGAAATTTTGACCCGAGCAAAATTCTGAGTAGTTAATGCAACTTATGTAGATTGTCAGCCTAAGAGCCAGCCTTGTTTCCTTTAGTCATTTGTAACATTTGTAGGAAGCAGTTCATCTCATTGCTTCTTCAGCAACCAGTTTATCTTTCTCAGGAGATGAATTATAGTGAGGAATGAGGGTTCCCAGAACTGACTGTCTAAAAGCAGTTGATATTTAAGTTAGTTGACAAATTATTGTTATTTCTCTGTATGCATAAGGATTTCTCTCTTTCTTTTCTGAAGACCAAAACCAGTACTTTACCTTCCTTATTTAGTAATCTTGGTTAACTGAGAAAACAGCTAAAATAGATGGAAGTCCTCTCCAGCCTGCAGCATAACCTCACACATCCCATATGGTGCAGGGATCATCACCAACCCATGTGCAGGACAAAACAAATCCCACTCACCTCTCCCCACTCCAGTGCTTAGGGGACATGAGCAGAAGAATATTCACAAGAAGGACAAAGAAAGAGGCTGGGAAGATATTACACAGGAAAACAAGGTTTCTACTGCTCACACTAGAACCTGTTAGCTTGTTCTTTGAACTGAAAGCAAGACTTAATTCAGATGTAGAGACAACTATTACATGCTGATGTTACAGTTAAACCATTACTGTTTACACAGTGTACCATCCTAAAAGAGTACACATTGATTTACCAAGGTAGAATATTGCTAAACTATTTGCTTATTATGCTAATATATTAATCTGTAATATAATTATATTAGACAGAGGTGAATTTTATTTTTCTGTTGTACAAAACATGATCAGGGTGCTTCAGAATGTCCCTGGAGAATGCTGGGGGTCCTCTGCTGCCACCATAACTTTTTTGGGGTAACATTCCAAAACCTACTGACACGCAGCCCTCGGATAACAATTTCCAGAGAAGGAAGAGCAGAGTTTCCTGGAAAGAACCAAGCATGAGAACTACAGAGAAGCTGACCCAGACCAGTGCCTTTCCCTAGAGCAAAATGCTCATTACAGTTATCGGAACCTCTGCACGGCCAGCGAGGAGACTTGAGCCTGAAGGCTGCCACTGTCAAGTGAGTGCAAGGAGCCTGTGCTGAGGCCCAGAGCTGGCTCCTCTTTGTCAGCAGAATGACTTTGGGAATGTGGGGTTTGCTGCCAGCCCATGCTGACAATCTGACTGTGCCAGGCTGGAGAGATGTGCTCAGTTCTCACCAGCCACAGCCCCCAGCCCCACTCTGAGCTACAAACTGAGGCTAATGAATGCTGGCAGATCACTGAATTAGTGAATGGACACAAAGTCAGTAAATGTCATTCAAAAAAGCTCTGCTTCACACACAGCATGGCTCTGAGTGTTCCTGATGTGCTGAAGTGATGAACATCACTTCACTGCAACGTTTATAAAACATAACATGTTCCTGCCTTCACACACAACACTAGATGATTCCTGAAATTAGATTGGAATTGTGTAATTTTGTCTCTTACAGGATGGTCCACAACAGTAATGGAAATGAAAGCAAATTGTACTATTTATCATATAAAAACTTTGCAGAAATCTTCAGTGGTCATTTTTCATTCTTGTCAAACTAATCATCAAAATGCCTTGTTTTATGATTAATTCCTTCCCCCTTATCTGTGCTTGAAGCAAAATGAAAAAAACACGGTTCACCAGTGCCAGGACATTTTAAAGTTATTTTTTGGACGTACCTTCAGGCCAGCAAGTCACAACTTCAGATATATTAAAGGAGGCCTATACTTTTTTCAAGAAGAGACAGCTGGCTTTTGGATTATAAATGTCATATTTACAACACACAACTCTGAGACAGTCTGAAATCCAATTCCCTCCGAATTGAAGCCATTGTTAGGGAAAATCCAAATTGTTCATTGCTTACCTTTGTCATTGCCGCTTGTTGGGGTGGGAGGGAGAAGGCCAGGCTTGGATTTGTCATAGTTGTTAAAGCTCTGGCTGCGTCGGTTGTTGGCACTGATGGAACCACGAGCTTTGGCCTCGCTGCCCGCAGCGGACACCCTCATGGTGGGACCTGGAAGTCTGGTGGAAGAATTTACAGCAGGTTTAAACACTGGTAAAAAGCACTCCTGGGCAAGAAACTACGGGACACCGTGCATAAGCTGAAAATGAAAGTATCAACAGCACAAGTGTAGGCTCATAGGGGTGTTTCTACTTCTGCCAAGAACAAATCAAAGGATCATCTTAGATGAAAACTCTATGTCAAACAAGCTGCAGTCTGAAGTGTTTTACACCAGAAAAAAAGTCCTGAGACAAGATTAACAGTCACCTGCCATAAGTCTGGTGATGAGAAATAGTTGCAGGTAAATTCAGGGGAGCAAGACTAAGTGAGACATTACTGTTCTTAAACCAGACTGCCGGACACTTCATCACATGCTGGCCACATAAAGGCTACCCTTATTTCAGAAAAAACAATGAGATGGAACTTGGCAGCCTTTTTCCTTCTAGAGAAGCACATCACATCTCTGTCCTGACAACTACAAAGCTCAGCAGCCAAGCCCAGCAAGACTTTAACCTGATTTAATTATTTGAGCCCATATAAATCACACAAAGCTTCAGTACCCTCTCCTAGAGTAACCACATTATCAGTGAGCTGGTATTAGCCTCTGGTTTAAACTGGGCATCTGCCTCTTCCAGCATTTTCTTACCATAGCCTGTACTTACCAGATTAAGCTGATTAACTAGGAAAAAAAAAATGTAGTTATTCTGAAGTAAGTCAACAAACTTTTATGCTTTTCAGGCAAAAAGGAAGGTGGAAGACTTCTTTAAAAAGCCTGATAGAATCAGGAAAGCCACTGGCATCACATCTCAGAACACTTCAAAGCCAACATTCACACACAGAATCTTTTTAAAGCTTCTTCATGTAAAATACAAAAATCTATTCAAATAACTTGTGCCAATAATAAAGCAAAAGGAAGAACTCCCAGTTGTCAGAGAAAGTGGGGATGCAACTGGCCAAATCACCATTGTGCCTCTAGAAGAAGGAAGAGAAGCCAGGAAGGAACCTGGCAGGGCTTCCTAAATAAACTGATTTATTCAGGACCAGTGAAGAAATAGGAAATATGAAAAGAAACACGGAGAAAAAGCCAAAATGTCAGCAGCTGCATGCACATGCTTCCAAAGCTCAAAAGGGTCTAAGACATGAGGGCATCATTCAAATACAAACCCAAAAATTAATTTACAAGCTCAAAGCACCACAGATTCAGCACAGCATATCATGGTTCTGAGGTTGACTTTTAGACCAGTTTCTCAAATTCTCCAGCTTTTTCCAGCACTGGGGGGTGCTAAAAAGTTGTCCATACTCATCATTGCAGCAAAGGGTCCACGAGAAAACCCCAAAGGGGCTTCATCCACTGCAGAGGAGACCGCAGGGGAAGAAGCTGAGGGCAACCAGTGACAAATAAAACTTGACAAGGAAGTTCATGAAAAGTTCATTTTGTTTGACAGAAAACTAGCTAGGTTTTCTACAAGGTACCTCAGCCCAAAGCTGCCACCCAGTTTTGAAACGCTGAGCATGGGGCACCCACCCCAGGATGGCTGCAAGGGCCCCAGTATGGGAGAGGAGCTTTCCAGCAGCAGGGAAGGGACAAGCTTCCTCTAGGGATGGATGAGAAAAGGCTCCCTACACATATCCACACAGGTTTTGCAAAGCTGTCACATTTTAAAGTAAACAAAGCTCCTCAAACCGTGTGACCACTTAGGAAGTGACAAGTTTTCCATCTGAGGCAGTATTGTCACTGCCAATAAAAACACACAAGGAATAAAAAACCTAGGTGCCAAAAGCACTCTTGAAGATATCCTTTCTCTTAGACTTTTTCCCCCCACCCTGTAGTTTAACTAACTGCTTTTAAGCCCCTGCTTTTGGTATTAGGTCAGGATACTTCACAGCAGTGTCTGTGAAATCTAAGGAAAAAATCAGGTTCAGGGAGACACTTCTGAGAGAAGGTACTGAGCTTGGAGAACAAACTCTTTTACTACTCTTCAGCACCTCTGTTAAGCAAATATGAACTGTCAAGCCATAATTAAGATCAAGGGAGATCATGAAAAGGAAATGTGAAACTTTAACAGGGATTACTCTGCAGAGGTTCACTGTAAGCATATAAGAAACAAGATGTGGGAAATAAATCTAAATTACACAGCAGAAAAAACAATCTATACAAACTGAATAAAGATCATAAGCTATAGCTCAGAAGCTTAGCAAAAATGGTAGAGTATAATTTACCAATGTAAAACTATATTCTAGTCAAACATTTACATACAATAGTAAAATAACAAGATTATTACCCAGATTAATAACCACAGCCACCCTTGGGATCACTGAGATGAGATGGACAGATGAACTGGCATGCAAATCATGCTGGGATCCAGGGAGAAAAGGGACTGAAGTGCCCCTGATTCCCTTCCAGGGAGGTCACAGGAGCTGGGTGTGAGAGCACTGGGGACAGCAGGGGCTCTGATCAGCAAGAGCCACACAGTGCTGCTGGGGCTCACAGCATGCAGGTGACACTCTCCTCACCAGGAGGAGATCTTCAAGGTCATTTCCAATCCGAAACATTCTGTGACTCTATGATTTCAATAATGCAGGTCAAAATATAATTGACACAGTGGGGCAAGAACTCCCAGAACCATGTTTTGTTCTCAAAAGCAAAAGCTCCTAAGAACAAAAAAGAAAATCAAATTATTTCCTTCAGGGCCAAAATGCATTCCACACCTCAAAAAAAAAAAATTAAAAAAAAAAATCCTAAAACTTTCCCATTTCAGCCGTTTGTAAAGGCCTAGTTACAAACTGTGTTTCACAGGAACCCTAAACATGCACCCAGAAATATTGCAAAAGGATTATTCATATTCATGCTTTGCAGAAGATGAAGAAATGCTAACCTAGAAGACCTTTTCTGACCAAGAGTGAATCGGATGATTTTGCTTTGAGATGAGTCCCTGGGAGATGCACTGTGACAGGAAAGAAAAAGCGGAAGAGAACATTGAACAAAGAAACTTTTTGTGTTTTTTTTCTTTAAAGCCACTGAACTTAGTAACTGGTTTTAGGGAAAATACGGGGTTTTTTATGAATTTCACAAGAATATAAAGTTTCTTGCCCAAGTATGACTTCAGGTCAAAACCACTACAGTCTGAAATTAATTTTTACAGAGTAATGAACATGCAAATCTGCATGCAACCCCCAACTCTATTCCTCTTTTCCTTCTCACTCCTTTATTATATATATTTTCTTTAGAATCTGAGCAATTTGACTTGGTTGATCTTCAAACATGACATTGAAGATCTTCAGGATATACATATTTGTCAAGTATTTGAAACCCAGCCCAATCTACACAATGGACTGCAAACAGCAAAACAGTGTTCAGCATCTCTGCATGTTTGACAGAAAACTTGCAGAAATCTCTTGAAACACATCTTTATTTTATGGTAATTACTTCCTGTTCATACATGCTGTAGGAACACTATGTTTTTCAACTATACAAAACTATTGTTTACACCCAAATGAGCATAATTTGTGCAAAAAGACATAAAAGCCAAACCCAAATAACCTCTGGGTGATCCCACTCGGAAGGCTTCAGTGAAACTGTTTATACCCCTCACAGGGCAGCACTTCAGCCAGCATTCACCTCAAGGTGTGTTAACACAAGCAAGCCTCAATGTGAGATTTGTAAGAGCAAGAAGCCTTCATTCTTTAGGAATTGTGCAAATATGATTTCTGCTTTTAATTCTCTCTCTTATCCCCACTAAACCCTCCCTGTTTTAGCAAGGGTCAGAGCAGTAGAAGGCTGCACATGCATTTAGTGTGGTACTGCCTCAGAAGACTGCTTTTATTCCAAGCTGGCCAGAGCACTCCTAGTAATAAAGACATTCAAGGAACAAAACCCTTTTCTATTCATCTGTACTCTGATCTAGGAGTGCCAACAAACACCAGTGATGGAAGTTATTTTTCATGTAAAGCCAGCAGCATATTATTTTTGACCAAAAAGTCTAGATTTGATTTTGATTGCCAATAGAGCTATTATGAGCTCTATTTCTTTTAGCAGTGTCAGAGTAACCCTTCCCCAGAGTGGAAGGTAACCCTTCTTAGTGAGGACTGAAACTCTTGTAATCTGAGAACTGAAGTTGGTTTTCATATGCCTTAAATGTATGTTTTCTAAGGGAAACAATGTGCATGCTTTGTGAGAAGATAGAAGCAAAAGGAATAGTGAGGAAAACATCCTTTTACAATCCTGTAATACTTGGTCCAGCAGGGATGTCACACCCATTGGGCCGCACATTTCCAGCACTGAGAACATATTTAAACACACGTGTTTTGATTTCCAAAGGCTTGAAGTCAATTGCTACCCAGCATTCCATTCCCAACACACTTTATTCTAGAGCAGAACTAAAGAAAGGAGTTTCTTTGGCTTTTTAAGACCTGCAATAAGAAGGGAAAAAAAAAAAAAAAAAAAAGAGATAAAGAACGAAAAAAAAAAAACCAACTTGAAGGAGATTTCCCCACCTGGACTGCATTTCTGGTTGTGCTTTTAACTGCTGCTGCACAGCTTGTGGGGGCTGTTGGCACGGAGTGTGGAGCGGAGCTGGCACCTGCTGCTGAGGCAGCCCCAGCTGGCACTGGGATGGGGGCCCTGCTTGCTGGGATGGATGGTGCTGGGGCTGCTGCTGCTGCTGCTTGTACCGAGACAGGCTGAAGAACAGGCCCAGGATGGCCTTTAGATTCCCATTCCTGATTTCTGTAAGGCAAAGGGGAGAAGTCACTCGTCAGCCATCAGTGGGGGTTTTCTCTCCGACAGTGCAGTAGTGGGTCAGCCTCTGCATCCCCAGAATACTGTCTGAACTGAGCTCCTTTGGGATATCCTTTAGGAGAAGTTTCTTTCTGCACATCTAATTGGCATTACAGTTGATTGCCAGTGAGCACCAAGGACAAATAAATAACTAATCTCTTCCCTGCGGTGACTGAGCAATATCTCACATTTCCACTGTGTTAATGCCAGTGTGCTAAAAAAGCAAGTCCTTTTAAATCTTTCCTTTAAACTAACAGAACCCAAAACAGAGCCCCCACAACAACAATTGTATTAAGGATAGCATGCTGTAAATGATTTCTCAGTCCTAAACTTGCACAAGGAGGAAACTACTGCGCTCTCACATTGGCATCACATCTCAGTATTTTGATATTTCTGGAATATGAAAATAATCGTTTCCACCAAGAAAATTTGATGCAAGTTTTGCACTAGAAAATATGGTTATTGGGTGACACAGCTGTATTCAAACATAATTACCAGCTTTGATACCATCACAAGCTGATAAGGGATGGGCACCCAATGTACCTAAAGACAGCTTGACAGTCAAGGTATAAACTTTTCAATTCCTGAATGTCATCCTGCTCTTCTATGCAATATCAAAGGCAAAAATGTAAAAGCAAACAGAAATACAAAGATGAAGAGTTGCATCAGACCATGCACTTAACCACTGTATCGTAACTAATACTCCAGAGGGCAAATCCTTCCTTGCAGACAACCTTAACGTGCTGTGACTTAATTATTTATCGTGTTTAATTTCCTAAATTAAAAAAGTGAATTAAAAAAGCTACAATCAAACAGCTGAACTTCTGCCTGTGTGGTACAGATCACTTGAACCAAATCTGACTGTTGCCCTGTGAGAAAGTAAGAAGAAAAGGACATGTGTTAAGACAGTGGCCAAGCACAAAGGCAAGAAGCAGAATTTTCATGTGTTTCCAGTTCCAGTTGAAAGGTTGCTCTGAGTTTGCGATGGGCCCCACTCCATCCTTTACTCCCTCTCCCAGCCACATTTCTGCTCACTTTGCTCATCTTTGCTGTGTAAACAAGCTTCTGCTCCTAATCCTAAGCACTTTACCCAGCAGATCTGAGGCTCAAGGTTTAAAACTGTTCTTTACCCATTCTGTACCAGCTTCCACCTTTGGTTCCCTTGTCTACCTGCACCTCAGTCTACTTTCCCTTCACAGACACTAATATAATTTACTTTCTTTCTGAAATTTGTCTCAACCCATGCCCACATCTTCAGAGAACATTAGCCCTTCTCTAAGTGGCCCTGACCCAGGATATTCCTACCCTCTCATACTCCTTGACTCAGTTTCCCCAGCCATTTTTTCTTCCCTGCAGCCTGGTCCCTCCATCAATGCTGTCCCCCACCACTGACCCCCCAATCCCTTGTTTAAAAGATTATCATTCCCAGGGCCCTCCAGCATCCATTTTCAGTCTTCCTTTGTTTTCTTGGCTAATTTTAGTCTCTTCCTGAACAGTGGGGTCCCAATTAATCCTGCCTGTTCCCCCTTTTCCCTGCCCACTCCTGCTCCCATGCAGTGCCATGCACAAACCCAGCCTCCTCTCACTGCACCAGGCAGGTTCCTTCTCTAATCTGCAGGTTCTCTTCAATAATCTCTGTTTAGCTTAGGAGGACAGGGATGGAAGTAAAACAGACACAAAATACAGCAGAACACAGTAAAAAGGATTTCCTTATCTCCAGCAAAGAACTCAAATTACTCGTGGGAGCTGTAAGGAAGGTAGCATCCAATCACAGGTCAAAGCATAACTAAACAGATCCAGAGGCACAGGGAAGCTTAACTGCACAAATACAGGTCAGATATAAAAGAAATTACCATGGACCTGCTTGTTTAAATTTAGCAAAGCTATATGCAACTGGAAACTGATTTCTATGTGAAGTGAAAGGCAATTATAACAATAACCCACCTACAATGTGTTGCTGCCCATTTTCTGCTGCATTTATCAGAAGGGCAACCTGCTTTTGACTAAATAATCAAAAGAAGACTTTTAATGAGTTACAGCAGTCTCTTCCCCTCTGGATTTGAAAAAAAAACATTTTAAATCAGACTTTCAGCGGTACCTCTGTTTCTTTTATCTTAAAAACTGAGGTAATTCTGGCAGTTCTACCTTGCATTTTGTACAAAAGGAATATTTCAAAGACTACTTCAGCCTCACTGCACTCTGCACATCAGCAGTCTCAAATGCTTCCTGCTTCAAGTCCTCTCCAGCCCATGGTCAGCTCCAGAATCATATTGGCTTAGATAAGGACAAGGATGTCACCCAGCCATTCTAAATGTGGAGCCAAAAATTACTGTCCTGGATACTGGAAACAAACACTCCAGACACTTAAAACTGGAATTTGGTTTTCATAGGAAACCCCCAAATCCACTCTTCAGAGATTTCCATCCTGGCATATCCCTGCTGGTGCTTGTTTCCCCTACATCACTGCTCCAGGATGTGTTCAGCTGATCATTATCCAGCTCATCTGTTATCCAAAGGATGTGCAGCTGCTTATGTGTGATATCAGTTTGGGTTTCTAATGCGCATTTATGTCCTCCAGTATCTTCAATATCTTGAGAGCAAGGAGATATTGTGTGAAGGAGAGCAAGCTTCTCTGGGCAGTTGCAATTCCAGGAGTCTAAAACAGGTCTAAGGGCAGGGGTATAGGAAGACAGTTCAAAGAATGGACAATAAAAATGTGCAGCAAGAAGTGAAAAGAGATCTCCAGCTCTCAATAGTTTTCTTCAGTAACTAGAAATGGGGATTTTAGATTTTAAAAAATCTTTGATAAGGGGATGCCTTTTTGCCTTCATGTTTCTGGGGAAAGGGGCCTCTAGCACAGCATGGCCATCATCAGTGATTGCAGATCCTCAGCATCTCCACTGCATAAATCCATCAAAACAGACTCTGTGTCAGTGGCACACACATATCAAAGCAGGATTTTTCAACACTGGAAGGATGTACACGTGCAGTCCCAAATTATTTCAACATTTAGGAGTCATCCAAATTCCAGTTTTGAGTCATTAACTTCCATCCACACTGAAGCTGCACTGTTGAAAAATACGTGCTCTTAACAAACCCAGGGGACTTCAGTGATTATTCCCTTTTGGAAGCAATCACAACCTTTTCCTTCCTCCTAGATGAGGATCTGCCAGTGAAGTAAATAAAGTTATTTGCAGTTGACCTAGCAGGTCTTGGCAACTCACACAGAAACACTGGCTGGTCTGGTAACAACATTCTTCACTTTAAATGGTTCTGTGTTCCTCAACTAGAGTAACAGCTAGAAAGAGAAATTCACTTTACTGTTGCATTCAAGTCTTTTAACTTATTTTATAAAAATATATTCATTCCCTCCCCTTCTCTTTCTTCCTTCAGCGTTAGTGGTGGAGCCAGTAAATGCTCTCATTTATATGCTGGCAGCAAACATTACAGGTCCCTTCTTAGCTTCCATGTGATTTAATACACTGATTCCTAGATGGTGTCAAAGAAAGGCAGAAATCCCAAATCAGGGAAGCCATGGGATAACATGTGTCCTGCTGGGCCTGGCCTGTGCCTTGGCAGGAGAGCCATGAGCATTAATCATGCTGTCCCTTGCCCAGCGTGAGCAGCACCACGCTGCCAGCTCTGTACACCCAGGCATTTCTCTCATCACTGACCTGCCATTCCACTTGGATTTTACCTTCTAGTGAGACAGGTAAATGATGTGGATGTATTTTTACAATATTTCCATGCTAAGGTCAAAATTGGCCTTTACAACTGACTCAGCCGCATTTTCTTTTTTACTCATTTCCTGGCAAACGAATTCTCTGCTGTTTGAAGTTTTAGCTCATGCTTTCTTTTCTTGACATGAGAATCCTTCTGATTATAACCAAGCAACTGAGGCATGTAATGCTGGCAGCACTCAGGTGGACCACAGTAAAGCTTCTCTTTGGAGGAAAATTTTTGTTATTGCTGTTCTAATCCAGCCTAAGAACACACCTAACATTCAGCCTCCTCTTCTGCTAGCTGTGGTGCACTCAGGTTAGAACACCAAATATCTGCTATTTTGCTGCAGCCTCCTCCTCCAAACTAAGTTTGTGAAGAGACTCAGTCATCAAATGTAACTTTGAAGTCTCACCTGATGCCACACATTCAATTATGTGTTTTGCAAAGCACTGATGGAGATGTCATATCATATATTCAGCTACTGAACCCAACTGCTTTTCCAGCATATTTAAATGAAAGTACAAGTGAAAGCTGGTGTTGAGGATGACACAAATCTGTTTGATCTCCTAATAAGATAATAGCTAAACAGCTTCTGAGCCAACAGGTACCACACATCCTGGCATAAAGGAACAGAGTTAACCTAGTTTGGTTTCAGAAAATTCTGATGCTCTTCAAAGGCAGAGTGATTAATTAGAGGTCAAAATGTCTCGTTTTGTTTTGTTTTGACTCAAAACATTTGGATTTGACTGTTTTGTGCACTTGGAAACAGGAAGCAGGATGGTTGTTCAGGTAAGAGAATAACTGAAGAGTATGGAAATAATTTTTTTCTCTGAAAGGGCAAACAACTGACAGCAGTTCACTTATATCTGTAAAATATACACTGATCAATGTGCAAATTATAGAACTGAGATAAGAAATTTCTGGTTTTCAGCAGAAAGTAGTAAAGAAGTGACTGAACTCCAATTTGGTCTCAATAATTACTTTTACAAGTCAGCTGTGCAGAAATTAGATACATATTTTATCTACCTTTCACACTGAGATGGGGAAAAAAGAAATAAAGATTGTCAGAAGTTTAAATTGACCTTATTAATCTTCCATTACACTCCATATTCTAGTTGCAACCACAGGTAGCAATTCAGGTTCCTCATTTAACATGAAATCTTAGCCAACCAATGGACTCACCTTCTGCTGACAGCCCCTGGATGTTAATCCCCTTAGCAGCCAAGAAACTCAGGCATGCATCTATGTTTTCAATCTGTTCAAGAACAAACAAAACAAACAGAAGAAAAGGAGACACAAAAAGAAGATACATTGTAATAATTATTTACTTCCATCTACCACCACCCTTGAGTGCGCTCAGTCTTTGCATCCCATAAAAAAGTCCCTTTGCTCGTGATGTGGAAACCACAGCATGAAACCCTCTCAGTTACTGAGGTCCTAAATGGATTATTGCATTGATTATAAACTGACTGTTCCACGGGTCAGGGCTTTCTGTTCTTTTCATTTGCATGAAGCAGATTAGCTCCAGCCCCAGTTTCTTACTAGAGGGTCAAGGATGCTCCGCGCCAGGATTCGTAATCGACAACAAGTGCGAGAAAACATGAAACCGAAAATAAACATGGAGGCCATTTGTTTGAGAAGGCAGATTGCCACTTGCTCTGAGGCTGACAGCTGGCAGAAGTTTCCAGCCACAGCAGGAGCTGAACACAAGAGCTGTAAGTGGAAACCCCGGCCGGAATGCAGGGGAGCGCGTTCCCCGCGGCATTCCCCGCGAGGCAGGAACGCCAGGCCGGAACGCCAGGCCGTGCTGGGCGCTCGCTGAGGGGCACCTCACAGGTGGGACAATGGGAACAGCCCTCATGGCATCAAATCAGCTTTCACCAGCGAGGGACTTGTGCACAACAAGTCTGCCTGAAAGGTGCTCTACACAACCCTGTTGCTAGACACAGACTGGACTCAAACCTACCTGAGAAAGTGAACTCCAGAGGGGCTGAACGAGTCAGGAATGTTTTCCACTCTATCTCAACATTACAGTAAGAATCTTGGAGTAGCCTCACACCTGATTTCCCACCAAGCTCCCACTGAAGCTCTGCTGTTGTAGCCAGAGATGCAGGGAGATGCCAGCCCCCACCCCAGCCCAAAGCACTTCCATGCAAAAGCCTAAGCTTGGACACCTCGAGGGGCTGCAAGGAACATTTGAGGAAATACCATGTTTTGTGTGTGGTTACACAAAAAACTCTTGGATGATACTGTTGAGCAACTCTTTTATTTAACCATGGTAATCAGCAAGTGATAAAATAAAGTCTTTGTGTTTGAACATCTCTCAAACATTAATTTATTAATTCCTGAAACATTGCCACCAAACACTTCATCCACCATACGGATAAGGAAGGAGACAGACACCAAGCCCCACACTTGGTCTCACATAACTACCTTTATTCTGTGAAGCATGGAGACATCAAAAGGAAACATGAAAAATCCAGCTGCCCTGGCAGCTCCTGCGTGCCCTCAAAAAAAATACACAACTGAGGGCTAAGGCAGCAGTTTAGAACTTGAGCTCCCAGCACCTGACCTGAGCTCCCTGTCCTTCCCAAAGTAATAAAAAAAGTACCAGGGAAGCTGCCAGGAAACCTCCCACATGGACTTCTCTCAGGGCATATTAATTTATTGTCTATAACTACAACAATAAAAACATTTTCTTCTATCAGGGGTGGAGGTTAAGTTATTGGCATTGCTGAACTGTGATTTCAACAATTAAAAACACTTTTATCAACCTCATTATACTTTGAGATATAATATAAAGTACACAAAGTATATAGTATACTTTGAGTAAATGATATACTCCAAAACCCAGAGAGGGACCAAAGAATACATTTCCTGTACTGCTCAGACCTTAAGGCTTGGAGCAGGGTGCAGTTCAAAGGTTCATTTATCCACAGTTCAACATGATCCAACAGTCAATTGACACATTTCCTTCTTCAGTACTCAACAAGCCTTTCAAGTTTCCAACACAGCTCATTTATTGAGGTGATTGGGGATTTGGCTGGAAAACCAAAGTTCACCTTTTCAAGAATAAACACCACATAAAAGGATCAATCCATTCCTACTACCTGCACTTAACAAGCTGCATCATTCCAAGAACATTTCCAGACTTCCACAGCTGTGGGTAGATGCCTCCTCTCCAAATAAGCAGGTTAGTGACTAAAGACAAGCAATATCTCACCCTCACTCCAGAGCTGCAGTAGCTCTCTCAGTCCTGCTCTGCTTGCTTCTCTTCCCATGCCTCTCACCTTTGCATAAACTCTCTTTTAGGACAGAGTGAGCACAAGATTAAGATTTACATCTGGCTAGTGAGTTCCTCATCCATATCCTCATTCTTGGTGCTATATAACAATCTTTGGTGAGGTCCTAATCTCATCCCCTTCAGATTCAGGGAGTCCCTTTAAAATAATTCCATTTCTCCTGTGGCACAACCCCCCAGTTTTTCTGAGCATTGTAGCCACTGAATTAAGGTGAATCACTCACATCCTCAGACTGATGGATGGCTCTCCATCACAGGTCTGTATCTGAACCATAATCAAGCAACCTGGAACCTCACTGCCACACAAAAGGTCAGATGGACTGCCTTGCCACACCAGTGGTAATTCCTGGCTAAAAGCTGGGACAAACAAGGGCTCTTGGTGCTCTACCGGTATGGAAAACACCCTAATTTCATCAGGCATGACAAAACAAAGTGGGAGTAACAGGGATGTGCAAAGGTACACCCTTTACATTCAGAAAATAAAGAACTAGGATAAGACCCTGTGGGGATGTACAGCACTGCACACGTGAGAAATTCACTAAAAGAATAAAACCAAAAGATATTAATAAAAATATATAAGAAACTGAAATATTTAATGACTGTCTAAGATTTACACAGTATCTGTGGTATTAACAACATTACATGGCAGCATGGCAGGAATGAGAGGAATTGATTGATTTTGAAGGAAAAATAGAGCGTGAAAAGGAAAACAGAAGGAAATTAGAGAAAATCCAAGAAGCAAGTAGAACACTGAATGCAAGACTGTAGCTGAAATTATTAAAATTTACTGATGGTAAGAATTCAAGGTCATTCCCACACAACAATGGCTGAGTCAAGAACCCTGACTTGGCTGAATCAGTCTAATGCATCAGAATTCATGTTGCTGTTTGAAGAGATGACTTCCCAGCAATGCAACATGTCATGAATTTCACTCATAAAAGCTCCAAGGAAGAATTCCTGCCCTGGTCCCTGCTCTTTTAACTACTAACAATACAAAAATATTATTTTATGGAGAAATACGACCCCAGTGCAGACAGGGCTGGAGACAAACAAGCAATGATTAATTAGACCATTTAGATGTGCATTGGAGAGAAGTGAAGTTTCTGAACAGATCTCAGCTAGATGGTAGGAAAAAATTCTTCCCTGTGAGGATGGTGAGGCCCTGGCACAGAACTGTGGCTGCTCCATCCCTGGAATTGTTCAAGGCCAGATTGGACAGGGCTTGGAGCAACCTGGGACAGTGAAAGGTGTCCCTGCCCATGACAGGGAATTGGAACAAGATGGTCTTTAAAGTCCCTTCCAACCCAAACCATTCTATGATTCTAAGCAAAACCCCAATGACTCTGCATCCTGGTGACTTCCAACACAAAGTACAGTTGCCTCCTGGTAATTACAGCATGCAGCAGCAAATCATCATCCAGACTCCATAGGCCCCTTTTCTGCCAAGTCCACATATTGCTTAAACCCTTTAGGCAGATGTGAAAGGACCAGATTTGCCAAAGGGGAGTGGATATTTTCTGTTGCACTGTGAGCTACAATTGTTTTTTTGGCCGAGAATTCTGATTTCTCATTTGCTTGGTCAGCAACATTTAACACAGCAGAAGCAAAGCAGGAAAGATGGCAGCTGGATGCTCTCAATTCCTGCCTACCCTAAACAGGGGAAAGCTGTGCAAAAGAAGGAAAACCAAGCACAGCCACCCACAGTGATTGTCTCACTCAGAAACTTTACTGGGGTATCCAAAACTAAACCTCCCAGACAAAATATTCAAATGAATTTGCAATTTTAGATCATCACATTTAAACTATTCCAGGTGTAATCGACTATCAACATGTCCTATCAGTCCCACATCCTTTTATGATGGGTATTTATTCTGAAATGTCCCTAAATGCCAACCAAGGACAGCTGAGCCCACACCAGAGGGGCTGGCAGCCTCTGGGGTTCCTCCTCCTGCTTTCTTTTAATTAGGAGATTATAAGGAAAAAACTCCAACAACACTGTGAAATTAAATTTCTGCTCAGACATAACATATCAAGTGTCATCATTCTCATATTCAGAGAAGGAAAAGCTACCTGAAAACTTCCTCTTAACATGAATAACCTGACAAGGTGGGAACAGAAGGCATCATGGCTAAGTGCTGCACATGGAGAACTGCCCAGGACCAGATAATCACACAAGACTTTGTGCTTGCCATACAGCAGCAATTCCAATTTCTATTCTTGCCAGTGCTGGAGAGAAAACATGCCCTGGCCTGTATGAGCAGAACAGGATATGCCAGAACCAAATTAAAAAAAAAAAACAAACCCAAGCCAAAATATCCCCATCCTGCAGCCTATAAATGGACCCCACAGGTGGGCACTGATGTGTTGAACGCTGAATATCTCAGACAAAAAGCTGAGTATGGACACAGCCCCCAGGCAAAGCTGTCTGTCCAACTCTGCCAAGTCAAATACACAAGGTGAAGGATAACTAGTGCTGTCCCTGGCACAGACACGGGTGTTTTTCTAAACAAAAAACAGAATTGAACTTCTTGTAGGCTCCCTCGCTTACAAACCAGGGGAGGTTTCTCATATTGTGATGCAAGGCCTCTGCTCCCAACTTTTACAGTGATAAATGGGGAGTTTTGATGAGCTTATCCAGAAAACCCACTTCTTATACTGAAACCAGTGCTTATGTAGCCTGTGGCTCAATTTTATGTGTAGTATATTAATTTTCAAAGAAAAAAACAATGAATGCACATGGAAGTTTTTATGGCCTCACAAACCTTTATGCAATCTTCCAGCTGACTTCACATACAGTGCAGAAACAAGGAAATAGCCTAAGAAACACAAGCTGTTCCTTAGGACAAAATTTATTCCTTGTCTGTATTTTTGAATTAGGCATTTACCCTCATATTTTATATCCAAAAGTTTGGAGAGAGCCTTAAAATCTTAACTCATTACACTGACAATCCTTA